TTCCCCACCCAGGAATGGAACCCTGAGCCCCTGCATTAGAAGCATGGAGTCCTAACCACTGTATCACCAGGGAAGTCCCGAGGATTTTTAGATGAGGAAGCCAAGGCTTGGAGAAAGTAAATGACCTCATGCCAGGGCACACAGCCAGTAAGAGGCAGGCTGACTCCAAAGACCTGAGACAAACTTATGAGGAGTCCAGCTCTTGGCCACAAACCAACGTGTGATCTTCCAGGCACAACTATAGGCCATTTGGAAAGCTTTATATGGCAGGCCTTACATGCTCTTCGGCAAAGTTGCATTCCTAGCCTAGATGCCTCAATTCGGAGGCCTCAGACGCTTCTGCCAAGCATCTCCTTCTTATCAGGAGTAGTGGGGAGACCTTTTGCTTTGACTCAGCGCTTTCCAATTCCTGGCTTTCCTGCTCTTGTTCCCCTAACACACACCCAAGTCCATGAAGCAGGGGCTTCTCCCAACAGTGAAATGATTCCCACCTGCAACTCACCTGACCCTGCCCGGCCCTGTGCTGTGGGGAAAATGTGACCCTGAAAGAGCTGCTGCTTTCCCTTCTTGCTTACGTCATCACAGCCAGCGATCAAAGCCTAGTCTGTTCCTCTCTTTTGGGCTGGTTGTCTACTGTGACTCACGGCCTCTCAGCCCTTTTTTGTGTGTGTTTTGGGTTTGTTTTTTTTTTGGCTGCACTGTATGGCTTGTTGGATCTTAGTTCTCCAACCAGGGACTGAACCTGGGTCCTCGACTGTGAAAGCACGGAGTCCTAACCACAGGGGATTCCCACATCTCAGCACTTGACAACTCAATCAACCCTCCTTTTCCAGAACCATTATGTGCAGCTCTTCCCCATCCTGGCCTTGGTTCCCATCCCCCACTCTCTCTTCAATCCTTCCTACTTTTCGCTCCTTGTACATCTTTTCTGATCTGACTCAAGCCACCTTTTTTTTTTTTTTTACTTTTTTGATGTAGATAATTTTTTGAAATGTTTACTGAATATGTTACAGGATTGCTTCTGTTTTATGTTTTAGCTGTGAGGCACATGGGATCTTAGCTCCCCAACTAGGATAAACCTCAATTCAGTAGCTAAGTCATGTCAGACTCTTTGCCATCCCATGGACTGCAGCACACCAGGCTTCCCTGTCCTTCACCATCTCCCGGAGCTTGCTCTAACTCATGTCCATCGAGTCGATGAGATGCCTTTCAACCATCTCATCCTCTGTCACCCCCTTCTCCTCCTACCTTCAATCTTTCCCAGCATCAGGGTCTTTTGAAGACACAGTCTTGACCACTGGACTGTCTGGAAGTCCTTGAGTTGTGCTCAGTCAGTCAGTCGTGTCTGACTCTTTGCGACCCTATGGACTGTAGCTCACCAGGCTCTTCTGTCCATAGGATTTTACAGGTAAGAATACTGGAGTGGGTTGCCGTGACCTCCTCTGGGGGGGATCTTCCTGACCCAGAGATGGAACCCACATCTCCTGCATTGGCAGGTAGACTCTTTACCACTGAGCCACCTGGGAAGCCCTGGAAATCCATCAAGCCATCAAGCTCCCATTGTGATCGCAAGAAAAGATGCACGAGTTAGCTTTCTGGAATATCAGACTGGTAATACTAATAATGGCAGCAGCCAGTATTTACTGGCACATGCTATGTCCGTCCCAGGCACACGCCAGGTGTTTTACATACACGATCTCATGAAATGAGTTAATACACACAGTGCTTAGAACAGGGTCTAGATATGGTCAGTGCTCAGTAAGTGTACAACACCTGGTAACACCCCGGTCAAGTACGGATTATTATTCATCATAATCATTTTAGAACTGAGAAGACTGAGGCTCAGAAAACTTCAGAGACCCAGTGAATAAGAGGTGGAGTTGATCTCAAGCCCAAACCTGCCTAGTTCCAGGGACTTTCGACATGGAAGCACTGCCTCTCTGATCTGCTGTGCAATTTCTATTGAACAGGAAACATCTGGGCAAGATATAGCTCACAAAGGGAATCTTTATGAGAGACTTCTATAAGAATGATTTAAAATGTAAAAGGTTTTGGGACTTCCTTGTGCTTCAGTGGTTAAGACTTCCAGCTTGCATGGCAGAGAGTGTGGGTTCAATCCCTGGATGGGGAACTAAGATCTGGCATGTGGCAGAGTCAAAAAAAGAAAAAAAGTTAAAAGTTTCAATACTTGAAGTAGTAAGCTTCAGTGGCTTGGAAGATGTCACTTACACAAAACTCCACATTTCAGGGAAGGATTCCAAATGAATCACCCTCATATATGTGACCATTCTTCACCAGCACCATCAAGGTGCAGTGGGTTTATTTTTTTTATTTCATTTTTAGGCCATGCCACGTAACATGCAGGATCTTAGTTCCCCCGCCAGGGAGCAAACCCGGGCCCCCTCCACTGGGAACGTGGAGTCTGGACCACAGGGGAGTCCCAAGGTACAGTGGATTTAATTCTGTTAAAACCACACTTTTTCCTATTACAAGAATAAGTCCAAAGACTACAAAGAATAGAAGTCACTGTGTTCCCTTTCAAATGCCAGGAAGAACAACACAAGTTGCCTCCTGGGCCTCTCACCTGACCTAAAAACTCAAGATCAGGCTCAAGTCATCTCTAAGTGATTTCACATCTCACTGGCAGCCAGATCAGAGTAGTAAAAGTTAAATAACAGCAGTTAAAGATTATAGGCTAGCCCAGGGTATAAGGCAGCTGTGGGGCTTTAGGCAAATTGTTTAACCTCTCTGATACTCAGTGGCCTCATCTGTAAACTGAAAACAGCATTACTACCTAGTTCATGGGGCTGTTGCAAGAAGTCTATAAAGTAATGCTTACAATACCTGGGCTCGATAACTTGTCAGTTTTTATTCTCACTAAATACTGGAGTGTTAACTGTGCCCAGAAAGGCTGAGCTCCCTCCAGAATAAGGGCCACTCTCAAGTGAGAATTACTGCTTAGCAGGACTTCTCAACTGTTCCACAGAAACTCCTGAGAACCAGTCCTTCCTATCTTGATTCCAGCTGAATTTGGAAATCATAGACTGAATTCTTCCAGTCTATGTATGAGCCACAGTTCTTCAGAAACCATGAGAATACCCAAAGAACTTGTTTATAATGCATATTCTTAGAGCTCTCCCTCCAGGAGTCTTGCCTAGGTTTGACGTGGGGCCAGGGATTGGTTATATTTAACAAACACTCCCAAGGAATTTTCATCCAGAGTCTGAGACACTGCCCTAAACCAGGGATAGGCAGGCAGGCTTTTCTGGAAAGACCCAGAGAGTAAATATCTTTGGCTTGTGGGTCAGGTATCTGTCACAACCACTCAACTCTGCTGCTGTAGCAGCAAAACAGCCAGACATTAAAGAAATGATGGGATGTGGCTGTGTTCCAGTAAAACTTGATTTACAAAGGCATGTTGGGGGCCAGATTTGACCCATGAGCCCCTGCTCTCTGCCAGCCCCTATCTCCTCTACATAGAACCAATGAAGACACAGATTTGTGTAATTTTTTTTTGAAAAGTGATATTTCTTTAATTTAAAATTATGACCTGGAAAGACCCAGTCACTCTAAGCTTCCTCTTTATACCCAATTGGAACAGACACAATATTGGCTCAGATTGCCAACCCCAGAGAAAAAGGAAACCAAGCTGCAAACCCCTCAGGAATTTCCCCAACTTCCTAAATTCAGGGGCCATCAGGCTCCATGAAGGGAGGGCGCCCAGGTGGCCGGAGGCTGCTGCATTCCGGTCACTGAGAAGTTTTCCTTCACTCTGTAGCTGGCACCACCCTCACCCCCCATAGTGAGGATGATGCTAAGAGTCACCTCCCAACCGTCCTTGGGGGCATCTTCCCATAACTGCCACAGTGCAGCTGGGCGATTCTAGACGTACACCAGAAGGGCAGCACCTTCTTTGTTTAGCTGAGATCTGGAGCCTTGAGTTGCAACCAGCGGTCAACGTGTGGCCAAGGACTCCTCGGCAGCAAAATGGCAAACTTGGGAGAGGACCGGGGAAGGTGCAAGGGTCTCAGTAACTGATGGCGATTCTGTAAATGAAACAAGACAGATGCCAGCTGGGTAAAGTCCTTACAAATGGGGAGAAAGCGTCAAAACAGAACAGGGAATACCACCTCCTCCGGCACTCCGACCGAGGTCGGTTGGCTGTCCTTCGAGCATAGACGTCCGAGGTCCCACTTCTTGGGTCAGTTTCAGTTCTCTCACCGCAGACGCTCAAGGCCAGTGAGGCCTTCGGATTCACCCAACCAGTCAGTGAGGCTCTCGCGAGAACACGAGACGCCGAGAACTGTGAGAAGGCAGTCCAGGGCGTGATGCGATGGAGGCTGTTTTCTGCACCGAGTTTTGGAACTGCGTGATCAGTAGAGGGGAAAGGAGGAAGGGCGTGGCCAGAGCTGCCCTCGGAGGCCCCAGAGGCCTTCCCAGAGGGGTTCGTGTACAATAAATACCACTGGCTTGCAGCAAAGCCGTCTGGAAGAAGCCGTGGCCTTAGAGCCACTGCAAGTGGGGGCAACGAATAACATTTACAGCACCCAAAGCCTGATGCTTGACCTGAGTCAAAAGCTGTCGGGACAAACCACAAAAGGGCTGCCCGGGGAACGCAGTGGAAGACCAGATGGAGGTCAGGCTGGTCCCCACCACACACAGCATTCCTGAGCCTGGCCGGCTGCAGCCTGGGTATACTGCAGGGGCAGTCCAGAGCACTAACAGGGTGTGCCTGGGTGCGGTGGGGGTAGAGAGGGGAGAGCACAGCCCCAACCAGAGTCCCCTGAGAACTGAGACACAGTGAGAAGGAGAAAAGGGCGGGGGTTTCCTCCTCAAGCCCACCGGGTCACTCTGCCTCCCAAGGGAGGAAGAAGATATAATTGTGCTACTGCCAGCACCACTGACGTTATTTTACTCTAAAGGATGGCACCTGGGTGGGGGCAGGATTTCAGCGCAGGCCCCCAGCTGTGAAACGCCCCCCTGCAGTGAGAGCCCTCCTTATGGTGGTCCTAGTCCGAGTCTGGGTCACGTCACAAGCCCTTGCTCATGACAACATGGGTCCCATCACCAGCGCCTGGCCCCTGCCCATCCAGTCTTCAGGTTCTCAGCAGGACAGCTCAAGGGGTGGGGTGGGTAACAAGAGTTTTGGGTCCCAGGAGCCCGACAAATTCTTCTTCCCAGTCTCCTTCACCTCCGAGAAACAGCAGCCCCCTAAAAGTCTGTCAAACTGGGAGCCGTTCACGTGGCCGGGCCTAGCCTAAAGCCAACCACACAAGCCACTTACAAGACCTCCGTGGTGTCATCCATTCACAGCAGAAGGCTGGCCTGACCCCTGCTCTCATTGGATGATGCTGTCTGGCTGTCCATTCTGGGCCACCTGTCCAGGGTCAGAGGTGGTGGCGGGGTTGGGCATGTTGCTCTGAAGGTAGCGGCGGAAATCTTTGATCATGGGCCGTAGGACCTGGATGAGGACGCTCAGGGCCGCCTGGGTGCCCTCCATGGCCTGAGCCTGGCGCTCCTGGGCACAGGCTTGCACCTCCTGGGAGCGACGGATCATCTGTAGCAGGTCGTTCTGCTGCTCCAGGTGCTGGGCGATCTCCTTCACGTGCAGGTTGGTGACCCGCTGCTCCTGGATCAGCTTGGCTGAGTTGAGGGCTATGCGGCTCTTGAGTGCCTGTGGCTTGACCGAGGTGTCAGCATGCTGGGCCATCATCTCCACAGGGGCCTCGGCCGGCAGGGGTGGGGGGGCCTCAGCTGTGCAGTACTCTACCACTCCCTCCTCCAGCGTGTGATAGGTGGTCTCTGTGGGGACTGTGGGGAAGAAAGAGCAAATCGGTGGCAGGTCACTTTCTAGAAAGAGTGAGGCTGGCCGTATGGGGTAGGGGGTAGGCCATTAAGCCTTGTTCTGGAGAATTCAGCCTCTCCTGACTTTATAGCCTTTTATTTATACATCTGGGGCTTCCTGGGTGGCACTAGTGGTAAAGAACCTGCCTGTCAATGAAGGAGGTGTAAGAGATGCGGTTCAATCCCTGGGTCAGGAAGAGCCCCTGGAGAAGGGCATGGCAACTCACCGCAGTAAGTATTCTTGCCTGGAGAATCCCATGGACAGGGAAGCCTGGCAGGCTACAGTCTATGGGTCACACAGAGTTGGACACAACTGAAGTGACTCAGCACGCATGTATAAATCTAGACTCCAAAGGATTCAGAATCTTAATCTACTTAATAACCAAAGGGTCAGCCCCTGATCTGGCAAAAGCAAAGATGCTAATAGTTAAGACCAGCACCTACTATGTGCTAGGCACGGTGCTAACCCTTTGTACTCCTTAGCTTCATGAACCCTCATAATGACACCAAGAGGCAGATACTGTCACGTTCATTTTCAGAGATGATAAGACAGACTCAGACACCATGGTACGACTGGCCTAAGGTCATACAGCTTATTCAGCAGGTATAGGAAGAAACCCAGGTCTCCCTCAATAGTAGTGACCAAGGTGTTCAGTCACCCCACTGGGCTGCTTCTGGCTGATAAAAGCAGGGCCAAATGCTCCCAGAAGTACCAGCACACAGCAGGCATCCTGGGTGAGGGTTTGCAACCCCACTGGTCCCAGCTGCTTCAGTGCTTTCTTGACTTCCATGTCTTTTATGGCCAAGCAGAAAAGGAAGTGGGAGTGGGAAGGCAGCAGTTAAAGTGACCAATAAGTGCCTCCTGTCTCCTTGATCACCTTAGTCAATGGAATGCCTAAAGGTCCTTCCTCTTACAGAACAGCAGCTGATTTAGACCAGTGTTTGATCCCCTTTCCCACCTCCATATCCTTGAGAAATATGACACTGCTGGGGTATGGCACTCTCATACACACACACCCAATTCTCCCAAGCCCCATTGAGAAACCACTGATAGATTCAGTTCCCAGCCCATCACAAAGACCACTTAACAGTCATTGGTGCAAAACTTATCTGAACTAAAAAGTCCAACCAACTAGTTTCATTGTCATTCCTAGCTTGAGAACCTTTGAAGGCACTCTAGCTGGCTGTTTGGGCCTCCAAGCATGTCGGAAAGATCAGTTCTTCCCTCCCTTTAATGCCGAAATCAATTGTGTGTCCCACCCCCACCTCCAGGAAGTCCCCTTTCTCTTCTGAGTCCTTAGGTGATCCTGACTGATAGTGCAGTTATTCATATATGTGTCCCTCTTATCTGTCCTCCTAGAATATAACCAACCTATCTCTTAGACACCTTGGGAATCCCAGCACTGAGCCCAGGGTTTGGCACAGAATTGCACTAATGGTTGATGAGTGAATGGAGGGGTCAATTAACACCAGGAACCGGGAGGTTCCTCAGCAGTGCCTGATGAATGTTCACACTGAAAACCAGAATGTCTTTGTCCAGAGTCAATGTCCATCTGCCTATTCATTCAGTAAGTACCTCCTGACTGCTTACTAGGCACCAGGCTCTGGAAAAAGTCCTGTAGGGGTATAAACATGGTCTCTGTCTTCAAGGACCAAACAGTTCAGTCACGGACACAAATGGTGGCAAAACATTGGAGGGCAAGCCAGTCCCTCAGAAGTCCAGACTGTGTGCTGAGGAAGTCTCAGAGAGAAAACAAGATCACTTCTGTCTGGGGAGCCCTTGGAAGGCCTCCTGGTCGTCCAAGACTCCCATCTGACCTTTGACCCTTGGCAGCCAACCTTCCCTGGGCTGCCCCAGCTCTTTCTGGCCCTTCCCATTTAGGAACGCTGGACTGGGTGGGAGAGGTCACTCACTCTGTGTCAGGGTGACCGTGGCGGCGGCTGCAGTGGCCGTGGGTCCAAGGGCCACGGGGTGGATCTCTGCGGTACTGGGCAAGCTGATAATGGTGGCCTCGCCCAGCAGGTTGCAGATGCGCTGTTGCATGGGGGTGAGCAGTACAGGGGCTACGGCGGGGCCACTGGCGCCACTGCCACCGCCTGTCCCGGGCCCACCTGCTCCATCTTCCTCAGTGGGCCCTGGGGCCTCACCACCCTCCACGGCCGCCCGGACCTGGGCAACCTTGCGACGGACCTCGGTCTTGAGGTCGGACCACTTCTTCTTGACCTCGGGCAGCTCCCGGCGGCAGGTGGCCACGGCGTTGACCCTTCTCAGAATGCCGTGCCACGCCGCACTCTTGGCAGCCAGAGGGACCCCGGCGTTGAAGTGGTTCACCAGCAGGTGCTTCTTCAGTTCCAGCTCCTCCACGATGATCTCCACCTCTCGCTCAGAGAAGTTCATCTTCCTTTTCTTGGCGGGGACGGCCATGGCCTCTCCCCACCCGGCTTTTTAAAGAAACTATAATCCCCTAACTGCCCCAATTCTCCTTCTGTCTTCCTTAGCCTCGCTACTCACCCACCCCCCTACAGGGGATAGGCTGGGCTGGTCCAAGGCCAAGTACCAGGCCTTTGGTAACCCCCCTCGCTACGCAAAGTACGTAGGGCCCAGCCCCGACCTGCCCAGCCGCTGCCAGCCAGCTGCGTAATGGCTTCCTGAATCTGCCTCTTCCGCCGGGGTGTGCGGAGATCCGCCCACTTCCCCTCTTCCCGCCTCCCAGAGCTTCTCTAGGGAGACCCGCCCTCCCGGTTGGTCGCGGTTCAGATATCACATCGATCACTGGTTCTTTCGACCTGTCGCTCAGCTAAAGGGCACGCCTACTTACTGGAAGTCGCCTGATCATTGGTCTCAAGGTGTGTCTGTCGCTACAGAGCGCCCCGCCCAACATAGTCTTTGCTCACCCCCATTGGAAAGTCGTCCTGTCGTTCAATCATCATGATTACGACTTTTACGCCTTTAAATTCAGCTATTTTATTGGTGGTTTAGGGAGTTAGATTACCAAAACCCGGCTTCCTTGAGGATCCCTAGTGCTTTCGGCCTTGAGCCGTTGACCAGTTAATTTTTTTTTAATTGTACCCAGGGCGCAAACTTTGCCTTGGCAACCGCAGATCACAATCGCTCCTCAAGCAAATCCTATTTCCCATTGGAGATGACGATCTCACTATGGTTGTGATAAATAAATAAATAAATAAATAAATAAATAAATAAATAAATAAATAAAAAGGAGATGACGATCTCTCCGTACACGACGGCTCCTCGCGTTTCTAGGATTCCGCTGGATAAACAGCGCTGCTGAATGGAAGTAGGACACGGGGCTTTCCGCCTGCCAATCACAGGACTCCTGCCTATCGCAGCGTGATTTCTTCTCGCCGGCCCGACTCAGCCAATCACAGCCTCCCTCCGTTTGAATCGGCCCCAGGTTTAGCCGGAATTGCCCCTCCCTCTCCATTGATCTGGGTAGTTTAGGGCTGCGTGGGCAGTCTTCGGGGTGGCTCCGCCCCTCCAGTGGCTGTTCTGGCCTGTGATTAGTCGACGTCTTCCCCGGGGGCGTGGCCATCCAGACGGCGCGCCGCGGGGCGGGGCTCCCGGAAGTTGCCCATCCCGCCTGCTTGCCGGCATCGCAGAGCCCGCGCTAGTCGACCGAGGACCCCGGCGTGTCGTCCGCGCTCTCCGCGTCGGCCCGTCGCCCTAGCCTCGCGCCCGATGGTGAGCAGTGTGTTGTGCCGCTGCGTGGCTTCCCCGCCGCCAGACCCCACCGCCTCCGCCTCGTCGTCCGCCTCATCGCCGGCGTCCGTGGACCCGTGCGGCGGCGCCGTCTGCGGGGGCCCGGACCACAGGCTGCGCCTCTGGAGCCTCTTCCAGACTCTCGACGTCAACCGCGACGGCGGGCTGTGTGTCAACGACCTGGCCGTGGGACTTCGGCGCCTGGGACTACACCGCACCGAGGGCGAGCTTCGGGTAGGCAACGCGCACCCCTCCGCGCGGGCGGGGAAGGGACCCCTCCGCGCTCCAGCACCTCTGGGAGGTCCAGGTGACAGGTCTGGTCTGTGCGACCGGCAGCCCTTTGGAGCTTGGCAGGCTTGGTGGAGGCTTCTCGGGCTGGCTGAGACCCCCTGGATGACAGACTTGGACACCCCCATTTATGCCCTAGTGGGAGTAGAGCTCCTTGGCCTCTGTGGGCGCTTGGGCTGGGCAGAGGGGTGCGGGGATAGGTTCTCCCTGGGTACAGGCGGGTACCCTTTGGATATTCTGATGACCGAAAAGCCCCTTTTTGCCGGGGCTTTCCCCAAAGTAGAAGGCCAAGTCTCCAGAGTCTGCTGTATGTCACCTTCTGACCTCAAGACTAAGCTTTGATGCTCCCCTCTACCCATCATTAATGGTTTCATCCATCCTCTTCCAGTGGCCCCACGTTTCCATGCCAGCGGTGGGCCCTGATCGGGTTCCTCTCAGAAACATGAGGGAGTTGGAAAAAATGGGAACTGGGGTTTCAGGCAGATCGAGCCATGTGGGTGGTAAGAACTGACAGTTCTGGGTGAGGCTCAATCCCCGTTGACATGCTTATCCAGAAAATGGGATCAAGATCTCTTACAACCTTGCAGGTTAGAGTGAAAGAATCCAGGGGAAATTTTTTCCTGAAAGTGAAAGCCTGGCCCACCTAGGAGGAGACTTTGTTACTTTTGTTCTGGAGTGGCCTCCTGGCCAAAGGAGAAGGAGGGACAGAGATGTGCTGTCCTTTCTGTATGAAACCCTCAAGCAGAGGCTGTTTCTTCCTCTTCTGTCTCTCATGGTATGTTTTCCTATCTGAATTTGTAGCTGTAGCTGCGCTTTTCCAGTATTTTGTTTATTGTGGCTTAGCCTGATCTATAACCTGGAGGAAGACTACTTTACCTAGCAACCTGTTTCTCTTGTAAGTTAGTTCCTTTGGTCCGTTTGTACATACCCCAATTAGAGAATCTCATAGCTAAGTGTGAAAAAAGTTTTGGTAAAACCGCAGTGAATTTAAGCAATTTGTTTTTCGAGTAGGTGTTTTTCGAGAGTATCTTGGCTCAACATTCAAGCTATTTCACCTACTTAGGATCAGCCTAGGGAGACCAAGGGTAACACTATGCAAGATAGAATCATTGGGTGAAGTCCAACAGGCTTAGAAGCAAGATTTTTTTTTTTTAAGATTTTTTTTAAAAAGTCTTTTCAAGTGAGTGTTACACAGAACTGAGCTGAATATTTTCTAATCCATAACTGATGAATAAATCATTATGGAAAGATGAGATGGCTGAATTCAGAGGGTCTGTGACTTACAGGCTCAGGGAGGTGAGCCTTTCTGCTTCTGTGAACCTAGCCACCAGGTTACATGGAGGGCATCCGGCTGCAGGAGTGTATTCAGTGTTTACACCATGCTTTGTGCTTCAACTGGAGTCAGTGTTTTTATGATTCATGGCACATCAGACATGGATCCAAATCTATTTTTTTTTTTTGGTAGTAAATGTAAATTTTAAGGGCAGACAAGGAGAAAGTGATCATTTTCTTTCCAGTGTTGAAACTTTTTTGATTAACCAAAAGGAGCCTAGCCCATTGGAGTCACACTGGCTCTACAATCTCTAACTCAGGAAGTAAGTTTCCTTTCCATGTATGGCTTTTCGTTTGGATTCTGACTACTTCTACCAACTCTTTCAGCTGATGAATGTGAAATTATACAGCTTTGCAAGATTGGGAATGATTCATTTTATTCGTTTATTACCTGTGGAGGCGCACAGGCTAGTCCTGCAAGCGAATGGTTTAAGCATGAGAGAGAGAACCTGATATTCTTGTGAATATCTGGGCCGCAGGAAGACACACTGCCTCACGAACCCCCTTACCACTTCCTGCTGCAATAGTTATCGGTATTAGCTACACCCAGAAAAAGTAGTGCTGCGGTTTTGCAGAAGTATCAAAGGCAACAGAGAATTGGGGGTGGGGGGCTGCCCTTCAAAATGGGTTATCTGCCGCGGTGACAGGCATTGAAAGACACAGCGTCCAGCTCTGGCAGCTGCTCCATATAACCCACAGGACCAGTCTGAGGTGCTCGGGTTTGCAAAGGAATCAGCTGTGAGGGTTTATCAGTGGGCGGCCGGTGAACCCAGGTCTTGCAACTACAGAGAGTCTCCCACTAGCTTGCCACTACTGGGTCGAGCTTTCTTTAGAAATGAGCCAGCAGTTTTGGGCATCTGCCTTGGTTTCAGAAGAAATTGGAACAGTCGAGGAAAATTTACTTAAAATGGCAGTGGGCCAGAGACACCAATGACAGCCAGCCAGAGAAATTTTCTTTGTAAAGGGCATGTGAGCAGGAAGCCTGTCCCGAGACAAAAGAAGGGAAGAGTAGCAGCTTTGGGAGATGAGACTCCAGCGAGAGCTAATTATAGCATCGCCTATTTAAGGCATTTTCATGTGACCAAACAAAATCTCTGTCTGAAAACAAATTTAAAACATAGGCTGGAACTCGGGCAGCCCATTAGGGAAAGAACCCAAGCTGGTGACGTGTCAGCTGTTATTCCTCTAGCTGAGGCTTGAGGGACTCTCCTCAGCGGCTGGTGTTTGATACAAGTGAGGATTCTAGATGATGGTATGATCAAGTTTGCTGACTCAAGAGGCTTGCATGTGCTCCATCTAGTTTGAGCCTGACAAGCTGGGCTTTGGGGAGAACTTGAATAATCCTTTTATTTGGCTTACAGGATCTTTATTTGGCATGTGGGATCTTAGTTCCCCAACCAGGAATCGAACCTTCATCCCCTGAATTGCAGGGCAGATTATTAACCACTGGACCACCAGGGAAGTCCGCAACTTTTTAGAACCACATCTTTTATTCCCAAAATAGGTTTCAGGATTATTCAGAGATTATCCTATCAAACATGAGAACCTGCCCTCCCCTAATTCTCTCCTTGACCTGAACAGTATACAGGAAGCAATCTCTGTTGACCTGGAATAATGTCAATTTGGCATTGCTTGATCACACGCTATGTTGGACTCTATACCTTTTCAGTGTCTGGCCATTTGTGGGGCAGGTATTTGCCTAAATAGTCACGCTTAGGTAAGAGAGTCTACAGAACAAAGACATTTTTCCCTGGAAAGGGTGGAGACATAACTTGGTATAATAGAATGACACATTAGAAACAGAAAAATGCCATTCGCGGACTAGATTGACTTTACATATTTAACTGATTATGTTATATTGTAAAATTGGTTCCTGGGTTGGAGGAATTATCATCATCAATTCAGCTAGAAGATATTTGTTTTTAATTAGTTGATATCTGGAAAGATGGAGCCCGGTACCCTGATCCTTAGACCAAGTATTAAATAAGAACATACCAGAGTGGGCCTGACTTGGAGCTTCAGTGGGTGAATTCCTTTGATGTTCAAAGAGCCATCAATTGTTGAAGCCTCACAGAAACCACAGGGGAATGAGGGAAACAAATATTTTGTTAGTATTCATTTCTAGTCCAGCTGAGTACATAGCCGCAGGATGAATTTAGTGAATAAAACTGCACTCCGAGGGGACTAGTCTCATTAAATCTGAGCTGACTTTTCATTTTTAACCGTTTCTTCTTTCACTAATGTGAACTTGGCAGAACCAAAGAATTTAGTCTTGGGTGGTAACTGGCCATCCTAGGCCAGCCTCCCACCCAGTATTCCTCCTGTGACATCCTCCTTTGCAGAGGACCACCCAGCCCTTTCCTTTGTGGACTGAATTGGGGTCCGTCTGAGTTCTTTCTCAGATCAGACTGAAGTCTGTCTCCTTGCGTCTGTTACCCGTTTGTCCCACGTGTACCTCCCGGAACAACCTAGAATCGGGATCTAAGGGCCCTTGGAAACAGCCATCTTATCTGAAAACACCTGTCTTATTGGAAGACAGCTGTCTTCCTGTAATCTGCTGCTGCTCAGTAGTTTTCACCATGCCCTTCTCACGTGTCCACACTTCCCTGCACCCTTCTCTTGGGCAATGTGCCCTGGAGTTAAGACTACAGATTTTCCTTGGAAGTCTAAAACAGGGAAAGCAGTGGAGATAGAAAATAGACTAGTGGTTGCCTGGGCCAGGGAGTGGAGGGCAGTGGAAAGCTAGGACGGTGATAACTAATAAGTCTGGAGTTTCTTTTGGAGGGTGGGGTGGCGAGGGTTCTTTGTGAGGTGATGAAAGTGGCCTAAAACTGATGATGATTGCAAATATCCCTGAATATACTAAAAGCCACTGAATAATACATTCAAATGGGTGATTTCCTTGGTATGCAAGTTATATCTCAATCAAATTTTTGAATAACCCAACACAGGTTTTGCAGTATAAACGTGGGTTTGGGTATTGTCCCAGCTGCTTGCGAGCTCTGTGACCTTGAGCAAGTTACTCGACCTCTCCAGGCTGAGTAGGAGGTTCAGTCTCCTTATCCTGGTAGGAGGAATACCTACTTCAGTGGGCTTGTTGTGGGATTGAATTAAAAGAAGTTCATAAAGAACCTGCAACAGGGTTCAACCCAAAATGACCTTTTCCCAGGGAGTCTTTGAAAATAAGATGCCCAGAGTTGGGGATAACCATCTACATTTTTTTCTTAGTTTACTGAGGTGAAAACTGAACTTGAAAGAAGGAGAAAGCCTAGGGGATGTGGTTGTAAAGGGTGTGTCGGTAATAAAGGGTGAGCAGCACAGTCTCCTGTCAGCTGATGGGGCTGCGGAAAACCTGGGCAGCCTTTAGGAAACCTACAGCCTTTAGGAAAATTAAAACAGAAAAAAGAGAGAAAGAAACCCTGTTGGCAGATTTCCAAAAAGCAGTCGTGTTACTGTACACACAATGATGTCTTTGGCCCAGATGTTTCCCAGGGTGGACGTGGGCCCCCATGGGCACCACTCTTGTCAGCCTGTTGTGGTTTCATGAGCCATGGATGATCTGGAAGCTTCAAGTAGAGCTTAACACCTTTGGAGATAGTCTCACTAACCTCGTT